AAACTGTAATACTCTCTTCTTGAAAATAATATAAATTAAATATTTACAAATCTTTAAGATCACGTAAACAGTTTGAAATTGTATTTATTGTATTTGATTCCAAATTTATATTTTTGAATCAATAATTTGTATACACATATTATTTACTGATACGTTTTTTGATAGATAAACAAAACAACAAACTAAGTTTTATTACCATTTTGCAGGTACGTACTTATAAAGTTTTATCACATCCTTTTAAATTATAACATTGAATAAATCAAAAGAAACTGGCGTCTTTCAACGCTGAAATTTCTTTGGATTTCAAACGTTCAATTTTGGTATATTACTTTTTATTTATATTCGATTCATTTCTTTGAATTGCACATCGTGTAAATAAAATCCTCATGGACGCAAACAAACTCAAAGTGCAATTTATTGTACATCATTTGCGAAATTCTTTATAAAAGCATGCAATGAATTTATCAACCCAATGAAGTATACCGTTGGAGGGCAACACACATTTTGTGTGTAATATATGCCGCAAAGTTATAGTTTGCCCTTTGACCCGCAATTGCAATAAGTCGTGGAATAAGTAGTAGATTGAAGGGGGAATGGGCTGAGTTGACGTCGTCTGTCGTGTGATACTAAAAAAAGAGGGTGTTAGATGCACTCTCTTGGCCAAAGTCCTTCTGCACTGAGAGAAAACACATTAAACTTGATCTAACTATATATGTTGATCGTTCCGAAAAAACCAATGCAAATATTACAAAGTTATCTACCAGTAACGACAGCGCATAACATTTAATAATTTATAATGATATAAATATATTTTATTTAAATGACGAAATAAGATTCCCAAAAAAAGTGGATTTTGTATAAATTTTTTGGGGGGTGCCACGCAAATAGCTACACGCTTGTAAGCTTTCTAAAGTGAAAGTCTGGTGTAAAATATTAAATATTAATATAAAATATTAATATTAGCTACTTGGCTTTTAAAATTTATCATCTCATATAAGTGATTTCTGTGGCAGCCACAAATATAGTTTAATTAATTGTAATTAATTGCAGTTCTGTGTGCCTTCGAAATACTTATTTTGAAATTCATATTTCTCGGTGTACGTGTCGTTGCAGCTGTGTGTGCTAAAGTGTGTGTGTTAAAGTGTGTGTGTGTGGCCCGTTTAATGGCCACAAAGCGGAAACTGGAGCGTGGCTGCTTCTTCGTCTTCGGCTGATGCAGCTGCATTAGCAGCCATTTGCAGAAGCCATTGCATATGTGTTTGTTGTCTTCCCTCTCACTCCCTCTCCCTCTCTCTCTCTCTATCTCTCTCTCTCTCGTTCAGATGATGCCATCCCGCTCTGGCGTGCTTTACTGCCATTTATATTTATGTTTGCCCGCTCTGCCTTGGCCCCCCGAAAAATGATGACATGAAAAATTGTGTTGCCCGCTTCTGGGCGCTGCTCTCTGATTCGGTTTCGCCTGGGATTTTTTGGGGTTTTCCGAGAGTTTCGGGGGTTTTCGGGGGTTTCGGGGGACTGTCGGCGATCCCCACACCAAGACCCCCCCAAAAACGGCCCTAAGGCCAGTCAGCAGACAGCCAGGAAGCATTTCGAGCGCAATTTATGGCTTTTTAAATCGAAAGAAATTCAATGCTTGCTTAAGAATGAATGAAAGAATGAGAGAGAAATGAGCGTGAGCGCCCCAAAACAAATTTCGAGATTTATGTTTACCCTCGCAGTACTTATTTTGTACTTCGCCCTTATTCCATCTATTATTTTTTTGTTTGTTCATGTTTATGCCAAGGATATTTGCGACATGGTAAGTAGTCTAATTGTCCTACAAAAATGTGCTGCTTATTCTCCTAAGCTGCAAACTTTCAAGCTGATTTGATTTTTAAATTTATCATATAAAATAAATTGGCATTTAACAACTCACATCTTAACTTTAGTACATTGATGTAAATGATTGTCGAATGAATCGCAAGAAGTCCTAAAATTAAATTATCTAATTAATAACGAAATATTTGATGCCCCTGATGTTTAGCTTACTAACTATATTTGCTTTATTTGGCCGAAAAATAAATAACTATAAATTTATTATGTGAAAATTAGGTTAAGGCTCTGTAAGAATAATACAAAACCAATAGTTTTTCTTTTTAGAAAGTGAATGACAACGACAATCAAAGCATCAGATTGATTTTAATTTAAAAATCCTGAAGCAATTGTTAATATTGAATAGGAAAGAATGCATTTGAAAAGGAGATTTATCTTAAAACATTTGCCACGGCAAAAATGGTTCTAGTTCGATTAGTACGAACAGGTTTGAATGGTGATTAATGTGAGTTCGATTTATTTTTTTAACAAATAGTTGTCGCAGAGCACATATGTTTCTGTCAAGGATCGCTGGTGCTTGAAAATTCCGCCAAATTGCTGTGGCAAAAGAGGACGCTTCCTTTGTGAGCCTGCGGTTCGATTTTCAAGTCAGGAGTGAAAGTGAATACAGTGAATACATGGTGGGAGGACCATTAAGAGCTGGCTGGCTGGCCTTGGTGACGCGTCGCGACGCGATGCGCATAAAAAATGGAAAATCAAATCGGAAAACACGCACAAAAGGCGTTGGCCAGCCCAGGGAAAAATACAAAAAATGGGGGAAAAGAGTAAGAGAATATGGGAAAAGGCAGGCTCAGTTCGCAATCAATGCGTTGGTGGCCAAGAAGCGGGGGCGGCTGCTTTGATTGTGGGCGTGGCTGCCTTGTGCCAGTTTCGGCTATGCAGCCAAACACACACACACAGATTGGCAGGCACACATACTGGCACACAGATACGCAGACTCTGATTCAGATACATATACAGATACGGGGGCACAGATACAGATACAAAGCTGCGGCCTCATTTTGCGGACGCCAAATAGAACTAGAACTGAAACTGAAACTGAATCTGAATCTGAAACTGAGACCAAAATCCGAAGCCAGAGCTAAAAACGAAGGGGCTGCCGGACCATTGTCCTTCGTCCTTTTTCGGCTGCATTAGCCAAAGCCAACTCATCCCGTTACGTTCTCGCCACTTTCCATTTCAAGCCAACTAAATGTCTGCCCACCCCCCGCTTTTGGCCACCTTTCGGCAATAGCAGCTACCCCAAATTCACCATTCGACCTTCGCAAAAATAGTGGAAAAACGCACAGTTTAGGGATATAGATATGTAGTACATAGATATATATATATATATCACAAATAAAAAAGTGACCGAATTGGATTGTGTTCAAGGGTCAGATTATTAAATCAAATAAGCTTTTGTAGAAAAAAACAATTAACATAATGATTCTGCTAGATATAAACTTATGCTTATGTTTATTAAGATTATCTGAATGGCTTAATTTAATTATTTTTCAAAAGCACACAATATTACTTTTAGAGCAGACGTTTTAATACCCTTGCAGAGGGTATTGTAATTTCAGTCAAAAGTTTGCAACGCAGCGAGATATATGTATATATTTGCTTGAAACTTTCTCAAAAGTTGTCTTTCTATTGCACCTATTATTTTGTCCATGAGTGTAGCTGCCATGATGGCAAAAGGGTATATAAACTTCTGCTTGCCGAAGATTGCTTCCTTTTTGTTTAATAAGAAATCCAAATCGAACAAGAGGATGCAAATATTACCGACTACAGATTTTAAGTTCAAGGCATTAATTCCAAATTCCAATCGTTTCGATAAAGTGATTTTTATTTCGTTTTCATTTGTTATCCCTTTTTTTTCTGTAACCGTCAGTGTGTTTTTTTCGCTTTCTGCGGCAATTGCCAAAATCCAAATTAAGCTTTGGCAATAAAGCCTGGCACAGACAATAACAGCCAACGTTTTTGATACACCCGAAAAAAGTCGTTCTTATCAGTACTAATAATTCATGTATATCATTAAATCCATTTTTTAAGGAATTTATTAAGTGCCTTGTCTAATTGGTATTATTAAAACTAATAAATTAATAGATTTGGTTTGTTCAATACAATTAATAAGAATATTTCTAATTTTCTTGAGAAAACAGATAATAGAGATTGGTTGTCTTTTAAAGCCACTGCTCTATTGATCTGATCATGAATAAAGTGATACATTAAATTATTTTTTGGTTTAACCCCAAAGAAAATGAATATGTTTACTGAAAGCAGCTTTTAATCAATTGAGGGTAGAGGATATTTGGATGGTTCTTGAATCCAATTTGACAATTTAAAAGCGAAATCAAAATATTTTCCTTAATCATGTCAGGTTTGATATATGGAGAATAGGGCTGTCTAAATTGAAATAAAAACTTTGTTGTTTTAAAGGCATATCTGAAGGAATAATACAAAACGCGTTTTAGGAACTGCGCATTTGATTATCACTCATACGCACAGTTGCCTTTGATGAAAAAAGGTGACACTAAATTTCGGAATGCCTAAAACATAAAAAATTATTCTATGGCTTTCAAATTAATTTATTGGATACTAAAATTTCCCAAATTAAACGGTGAGAGTAAGGTTATTTTTATTTTGACTAACCTAATGTAGTTGACCATAACAATTTTCTTCTAACTGTAAGGGTATATAAACTTCGGCTTAGCTTCCTTTCCTTTTTAATTGAGGCTTGAATTACGCCAACTATTTTCTGAGTGGACCTCAGTCCCGTCCCCCAGTTCCGCCCCCATAACTAACTCAGAGCACTCGACCGCCTCAATGGACACACGGATACGCAGAATATTGTGGGGGGATTGGTCGGTTTCGAGGGGTCCAAAGCCGGCGGAACTTGGAGAATGTTTTGAGTGTTGAGAGGATGTCGGGCGAATGTCATGCGATTGTTTTGTGTTGTGTTGCGAGTCCTTGCCGTCGACGGGCTTTGTTTGAATGGCACTCGAATCGAGGGGATTCGGATGGCGGATGGCGGATGGGGATTCGGGTCTGGGTTTAGGTTTAGGTTTAGGTTTAGGTTTCGGTATGAGAACGAGTGGGTAGGCCAAACAAGATTGGGTCGAGGCTAATAAATACGAGCCACTTACTTGATATAAATGAAAGCACAAGAATCATATCTATGGTCACTTGAAACCACTTCATCTCATTTCCCTCTGCACGCTTTTTTGGCCTGTGCTGCGGTGGTGCGTTGCTGGATCTGCCCTATATATATATATACCCAGATATATATATATATGTAATCCTCTTCTGGCGGCTCTAGTCGTTCCTATTTGATATTTCAAGGCGCAGGCGCGGCTGTCGCGGGAAAAGTGAACTTTTTCTTCATGTGTTGTGGATTTCTCTTATTGTTGTTGTGCGTTTTATGCATCTCAGTTGCGGTTTTAATTCGCAGTGTCATCGAATTGGCAGCATTTATTTACATCGATTATTATTCTGGGTATTGCTTCCATGCCCCTCGATTTCATAGTAAATATAACATATTTCTCTATATATACATATATATATTTATATATATATATATTAATGTAGAAATGTACGTTTTCGTTTACTAAGTATATAAATGTATTTGTAAATATATTTGTTTCTTGGCAGTTTTCGATTAAAATTCTTCAAATGTGTGTGTTTTTATTTTTTGGTGGCCTCCTCCCGGTTTTGCCTTTGCTTTGCTCCTTGTTGTCCTTGTTGTCCTTTTGCTTCACATCGTTTCAATCCTGCGCTTCCTCCTCCATCTGTTCCTTATTCCGCGCAGATAGAGAAAGTCCTAGAAGAAAGGACACATTTAATTAGTGCTTTCATTAAAAACAAAAATTTCCTTTCATTTCATTTGGGCAATGTATGTGTAGGCATTCTTCCAGTTGCCCAGGGGAATGTATCAAAGAGAGTGGTTGTTAAACACCGTAAAAGTAATAATATAAAAAGACTTAAATTTAAGAAATATTTAAAGGCTTTTTACATATTTAAATCCTACAATTTAATTTTTTAATTCATTGAGACTTCAAGGTTCCAAAGCATTACTTCTTAAGACACTTTTTTCATAGCTCCCCACAGCTTAAAAGTTTTTGTGTTACATATAATAATTTTCCCCTTAACGTTAAAAAAAAAAACATGGGACATAAGAAAATTTGTGTGTGATTTATTAGGCTTGGTCTTCCCTTTTTTTTGTAAATTTTCTTAGCCCAGCTCATCCGCTTCCTGTCCGAAGAACAATAAAGTTTTCAGTCCCAGCAGCAAATCCCAAATAAATTTTCCCTCTCAGGACTTTCCTTATTTTTCTGTTTATGCAAATTGATTTTAATTATAATTTTCTGCTCTTGCCGCTGACCCAAATTGGATTGTTTGAAATGTATATATGTATATTTTAAAATAACGCGTTTTTTTTTTGAGTCTTGGGCCACAAACATTTTGTGAATTTTAATTGCTAATTTTCCGTAATTCATTTACCCCGGATCTAAAGGTATCCGAGGGTTTTTTCACCGAAAGTTTTTGTTCTTGGCCGGAGCCTCGTTTGGGTCTGTTAATTTAATTAATAACTCTGCCAAAAACTTGACGAGCGAGTGTCCCCTTTTTTAGGCTGGGATAATCTTAAAAGTCCTTTGAGTGGCTGAGTGATTGCCTTGCTTTAATTCTCAGGACCCTTTAAATGCATTTTAGCTGGTCCTGTTTTGTGTAGTAAAGTCCGAAGTCAAAACTCGCATTTTTTAATTAAATTTTTCTTGCGATTTATCTTCATCTTTTATATTGTTTCATTTAAAATTGTTTGGCTTTTTAAAATAGACATTAGGGAACTTGTGTTTCCATAGCTTAAAACCTACTTTTAGCATTCATAAAGACGTAAAAAAAGTGTTCAATATAAAATAAAAAAATCGTTTTTGGAAATACATTTATACACTGATTAAGGTTATGAAAAATAATTAAACATAGTTCAAAACTAAAATACAATTTAATGTATTTTCAACGATTCGTTCACTATTTTCAATTTTCATCAAACTTATTATTTAAGTTTTAATCAGAATTATTGCCAATGAAAATCAATAAGTTGTCCTTGAAATTTCCTGCTGAACTTGATTTATATCCAAGAAGCAAACTTGTCATGCGGTGCTTAGAATAAATAAACATGACATGACATTGATGGCGCACTGTGTCTCGTAGACAAACGAAAATTTTGTGATTATTTCTACCATTAACAAGAAAGGAAAGCTAACTTCGGGCGGAGCCGAAGTTGATATACCCTTGCAGAATACTCTGTATATTATATTCTCCAAAATTATTCATATGATGCATTCTTAATACTCATAAAAAATCCCAACTTCCTAACTTTAAAAACACCAAAGTTATGGCATTTCCAATCGTTCAGTTATATGGCAGCTATAAGATATAGTCGGCCGATCCTTATGAAATTTGGTATGTCGGATTGATTGGCCAAAAATAAAACCCATAGAAAATCCCAACTTCTTAACTTTACAAACACCAAAGTTATGGCACTTCCGATCAATCAGTTATATGGCAGCTATAAGATATAGTCGGCCGATCCTTATGAAATTCGGTATGTCGGATTGATTGGCCAAAAATAAAACCCATAGAAAGTCCCAACTTCTTATCTTTAAAAACACCAAAGTTATGGCTTTTCCGATCGTTCAGTTATATGGCAGCTATATGATATAGTCGCCCGATCCGGCTCGTTCCGACTTATATACTACCTGCAATAGAAAGACAACTTTTGGGAAAGTTTCGAGCAGATAGCTTTAAAACTGAGGAACTAGTTTGCGTAGAAACGGACGGACAGACGGACAGACGGACATGGCTAGATCGACTCTCCTGGTGATGCTGATCAAGAATATATATACTTTATAGGGTCGGAAATGTCTCCTTCACTGCGTTGCAAACTTTTGACTGAAATTATAATACCCTCTGCAAGGGTATAAAAATAATAATATTGTGTAAGAAATAGTAACAAGAGTTGGATTTAAAGTTAAGTTCTTTTTCACAAGTGTCGAATAGAATTTATCAGTATTATTGTCATTTACTCGGTTCTCCTAGCTTTTTATATTTTCGAACTATAAAATAAAATAAAAAAAACCACTATGATATATTATTTAATTTAGTGTTAATATTACATTATTTATTTATTATAATATTTGTTTGGCTGTAATTGTATAAACGTATTTTTGTCAATTGATCTTGTGCTTTGTCAATCAAAACTTCTAATTAAATGAGAAATAGTTAAAGAGTATTGGCAAAAGCATTTCCCAAATTTTATTCATTGAAAAAAGTACTCAAAAGTTATGGCGAATTAAAACAACAACATTGCAGTGCCCCTGAAAACTTGCTACATTATTGCGCAATTCAATTAGGGCGACTTAAAGTCGCCATTTGAACGAAATGAGGGAGGAAAGGTGGGAAACGTGGGAAAATTGTTATAAGTGGGTGGGGCGAGAGGGGGGGGGAGGGGTGGGTAATGTGGTGGGGGCGTGGGAAATATGTGAAAGGGGGCTGCCAAGTGTTGGAGTGGCATGAATGAGCAATTCAGCGAGGGCGTGAAAAGGTTTTCGGAAGTAATTTAAGAAAATGTCATAAGAGTGTGCATGACCTTCCCACCTCCTTCCCCCCATGTCCTTGCTGCCCAACCCTCTCCCCCCGCCCCCTTCTCACCTGACGCCCTCGAATACTTAACCCTCTTAATACCCAAGTGACATATCAGTAAGTTTGCAGAAATTGTCTCATAATTCCTAATTTAATGAGAGAATAATGTTTTCATATTTAACAGAGATAACATTTTTAATGATCAATTTAGGAACACTTTTTATCGACGCGTCATTATCGTAAAGTTCTGTGGGGTGATGTTAATAAACATTTTATTAAATTAAAAAAATTTTACCCCATGCGATTTTTTCACACATCTAGGGTCACAAAATTTTTTAGTTTATCTTTCCATTCTTTGTACATAACAGCTTGATTAAGAAATATAAATAACACTTGTATACTATATTTAAACTATTTTATTCATGGTTTTACGTCATGGAACTCACCTACTCTATATACATTCCCAATTAAGGTCTTTTATTTGTTCTTACTTTTGATAGCTCTTGGGCAAATCTTTGCCAAAATTTCCATATTAATTTGAGGTAATGAATCGAGTCAATCCTAATTAGAGGGTTAAGGGTCGCCTGCAGTTACTGCGATTGAGGCAGCGCCAGGTGGCATGTGGCAGGTGGCAGGTAACTGGTGACTGGTGACTGGTGACTGGTGGCAGGACATGGCAGGATGAAGCGATGGAAGGATGGCTGGCTCGAGGACGACACGTTTTTGATGCAACAAAAGATGCCAAGTGTCAATTTAAACAGCCGCACGCTGGCGACTGAGTACGAAGAAGAGGGACGGCGAGGACGAGGACGAGGACTTGTCTCCCAAAAAATGTGCCAGGGGCATCATTCGCTCGCACTCGCACTCGCACTCTTTTCGTCCTGCCACTTGAAGCTTGAAAAAGCCAACGTTGACAGCGTTTAAGACTTTCCCCATTGTCCTTGCCAGCGCCTTGATGGTTTGACAGGGCAAGGCAACGCCGTCGTCCTGCCCTCGTCCTTCCTGCCCTCGTCCTGCCAGGACCTGCCTGCCTGTCCTCGCCTGTTGTCTTTTCATATTAAATGCATGGCGAAATGTACAAAAACAGAAAACGAGAGAAACGACAACACGACAAGAGCGAAAGGCAGTGCATTATTGTACATCGAAACTGTGTGTATACTGGACTTAAAAATAATTATATTTACCTACAGCAAAATGGCTTAATTTCAGGTATCAAATTTGTTTGCGTCTTTTTTTTTGTTTAATATGTTTCCATGCCCCATAGATGTTTACACACTGGGAAATGTAGTGCTTCCATGGCAGAGAACCCGGGACAAATTGGAACATTTATTTTGGAAAAATACAACTATTTATTGCACAAAAAATCTACAAAATATTGCTATTTGTTTTAAATTATTTGAATCTTTTATTTTATACATTAGTTTGTATGCTTCTTGTGCATTTTATGTGCTTAGGATACGTTTTTAATTTTTTCAATTTTTATACAGTCTTATAATTGAAACTCCTGTACCAGATTTCAGTATGACAACATTACAAGGTTCATATAAAATATGATATTAACTAAATTTGACCATCTGTTCGTCTTAAAATCCTCCAAAGTGCTTACAAACAGTATTAAGCCCCTAGCGAGGGTAAATGATGGGACTTAAGTCAAAAAGCGTGAGAGAAATTCGATTTTTCGCCGTCAACTTCCGTTTGTCTGCCCGCCCAATTTGCCCCGTCATCATGCGATAGTTGCCACTGCCACGGCCTTTGGTCCCCAAACAACCACCCACAGCCCCCGCTGGAGCCACCCCCTCGCCCTGCACCACCCCCACCACATTTGTCGCTCATTATGGGCGCTCATTAGGCGGCGCTAGCGGCATGTCAAGTCTGCAAAGGGGGCGGGGCAGAGGCGGACAAAAAAAGAGAGAGAGAATGCGAATGGGGTGCGGTCGAGCCCCTGACCCCTGACCCTTAACCCCTAATCATGCAGAGCAGCGTACGCGGATAATGGGCGTTATAACTATATTATGCAGTCTGGGTAAGTTATGAAGCCTGGAATCAAGCCAAACGGAGGCGAAGTGAAACTTATCGGTTAACTTATTATATCTTATGAATATATTTTCTAAAATATTGTATAAGCAAAAAAATGTATTTGTTATTTTACTTCTTGAAACGTACCATTTAGGTTATTTGTTA